TGGGCGACTAACCTCATAATCTTGAAAAATAGCAAGCACTTATCTACTGACTTCGATATGAACCGATGAAGAGCTGCCACCCGTCCAGTCAACCTCTATATATCTTTCATTGATTTCGGCGGTTCCATCTCGGCTATTGCTTTGATCTTCTCTGGATTAACTTCAATCCCTCTTCGGGACACCATGAAACCTACAAACTTTCCAGACTCCACGCCGAAGATGCATTTGATTGGGTTTAACCGCATTCTGTTCTTTCTGAGGTTGTTGAAAGTTTCGTCGAGATCAACTAGGTGGTCTTCTGCTTTTAGGCTCTTTACCACAATGTCATCGACATAAACTTCCAGATTCCTACCGATCTGAGCTTGGAAGACGATGGTCACCATTTTCTGATAAGTAGCACCTGCATTCTTTAAGCCAAACGGCACCATGACATAGCAATAAATTTCATCGCCAGCATAGAACGAGGTTTTCTCTTCGTCTTCTAGAGCTATCGGCACCTGGTGATACCCGGAATATGCATCCAAGAGACTTAATCTCTCATTGTCTAAAGACGCTTCAACCAATTTGTCAATGCTCAGCGTCGGATAGCAATCCTTGGGGCAGGCTTGGTTAAGATTTGTGTAATCGATGCACATTCGCCATTTACCGTTTGCCTTCTTCACCAGGACTGGGTTAGCCACCCATTCGCAATAATCAACTTTTCTGACGAAACCAGCTTGTAGAAGTTTCTCTACCTCTTCTTTTATAGCCTGAAGCCTCTCCCCCCCGAAGAGACGTCGCTTCTGGGCCACTGGTTTCTTCAATGGATTGGTGCTAACCTTATGTTGAGATATTGAATTTGGAATTCCTAGCATGTCTGCCGAAGTCCACGCGAAGACATCATTGTTAGCTCGGAGGAAAGCTATTAACTCTGCTCTTTCTTTTGGGTTTAATCTAGTTCCAATTTGCATCTTTCGGCTCGGATCTCTATCATCAATGAGCACTTCTTCGACATCTTCGACTGGAGCAGCTTTGGTTTCATCTTCCGGTCGGTTATCTACTATTTCAACACTCATGACTTGTTGATTATCAGGAATCTGTTGGGGATTGGCCTCGGGTGTCTAATCTTTGCCCTTCGTAGGTTGTGTTATCGAGGTGATATAGCAATGTCTAGCCACCTCCTGGTTGCCTCACAGTGTTGCTATTCGCATAGGAGTTGGGAATTTCATGCAGAGGTGAGATTGAGAAACCACAGCTCGGATTTCAATCAACGTGGGTCAACCAATAACAACGTTGAAGGAGGACGCCATCTTTACTACTAGGAACCAAACTGAAGGAGTCACATAGGTGCGGCCACTCCCGAAAGCAGCATGAAGGGTAAAAACTCCTTCTACCTGAACAAGATGGTTGTTGAAACCATAAATGGGACCATCATATCTCTGCAACAATGCTGGATCCAATCCAAGACTCTCAAAACAGTGGAAGTACATGATATCTTGTGCACTCTCGGTGTCAACAAGGACACGTTGTACTTCGCAGTTGTTAATCATGACAAAATTGACCAAAGGATCATTGTGGGGTGTAACGACTGTGTCAAAATCAGCAGATGTGAAAGTAATAGATTGATTCTTCCAGTCAATGTCGTCAAACTTCCGTTTCTGAGCTCAGTTCTAATGCTTAACCTCTCTGACATACAACTTTTGTTGTTTAGAGCTTAGCCCACCTGCTTCTAGGCCCCCCGTAATCATGTGTATGATTCTAGCTGGTGGTGGAAGCGAAGGTGGGGCTTGCTGATATCCCACGCCTTGCTTGTTTGGTGGATTGCAAACTCCTTGAGGCTGTGGCCTCTATTCTCTGACAAACCTCGGCTGTTCAGGTCTCTGAATGTACTCATTCAACATTCCCTTCTAAGCTAGACTTTCCAGCTCGGACCTTAAGCTATTGCACTGCTCTGTTGTATGACCGTGATCTTGATGAAAATCACAATATCTGGTATGATCTTGGCTAGCAGCAGCAGTTTTCATTGGGCCAGGATGCTTTAAATCCATCTTGTTCTTAATCTGCACAAAAATCTGTGACCTCGACAAATTAAAAGGAGTCCAATTAATTGGAGGTTTACCTGCAGATTATTGTGGGGGTGTTGAGTTCGACCTTCCAAATCTCGGTGTAGAGGTCGGCATCGGACCTCGGTTCTGTGCCATCCTCATCCTTTTCCTGCTCAGATTCTCATCTCTCCAGTC